TTTTTGGTTTTTCGAGACAGGGTTTCTCTGTGTAGCTTTTTTGTGCCTTTCCTGGAACTCACTTGGTAGTTCAGGCTGGCCTCGAACTCGCAGAGATCCGCCTGGCTCTGCCTCCCGAGTGCTAGGATTAAAGGCGTGCGCCACCACTGCCCAGCTGCTTTTTCATTTTTAAAAGATAAATGATACCCAAAACAAAACAACAACAAAATAAGAAAAACAAAACTTACATTTGATTTGTCTTGCAATACCTTTTCTTTGTTTCTTTTCTTGTTTTGTTTTGTCTTTTTTTTTTAATTTGTTTTGTTTTGTTTTGTTTTTTTGAGACAGGGGTTCTCTGTATAGTTTTGGTGCCTGTCCTGGAACTCGCTCTGTGGCTGACCTCAAACTCACAGCGATCTGCCTGGCTCTGCCTCCCAAGTGCTGGAATTAAAAGTATGCACTGCCACCACCACCCAGCCTGTCTCGTTTTGTTTTGAGGCAACGTCTCACTATGTAACCCTGGCTGTCATGCAACTAGCTATGTAGACAAGGCTGGCTTGAACTTATAGAAATCTGCTTGCATCTGCCACTCAAGTTCTGCAATTAAAGATATGCATCACTTGACATTGCAATACTTGTTATTTCTTTAGCAGTTATATATTTTTTATTTATTTGTTTTGTTCTTGGTTTTGTTTGAGACATGGTTTCTCTGTATAGCCCTGGCTGTCCTGAAACTAGCTCAGATCAGACTGGTATCAAACTCACAGAGATCCACCTGCCTCTGCCTCTTAAGTGCTGGGATTAAAGTCGTGCACCACCACCACCCAGCTATATTTTTTAATTCCAAGTTATCTAATATTTTCTCCTCAAATTTAACTGCTCATTTCTTACAGTGATGTGTTACTTATTACTTTGTGTGATTCTATATTCTCCTATTCTTTAAAACATTCCTTCATAGTTGATCATTACAAAATCTGAAGGCCTTATGAGTCTAAATGTGTTGTGTTCTATGTTGCCTCTCAAATACTATTAGACATGCAAGCCATCTAAGGATCTTGTGAGATATACATTCTGATTCAGTAGATTTGGCCTGGGTTGTGGGGTTCTGCGTTTCTAACACACTCTCTCTCAATGCCGGTGCTGTAGCCCATGGACTACATTTTAGGGAAACTAGTTGTACAGCTATGTGCAGAGGGCCTGGGTGGAAAAGAGCATGCATGGAGATTAAGTGCTTTTGGTTGTTATTTTACAAGTTAAGCACTAGATTCTGCAATGACTCCATTTTAAAACATAAATGGTAACAAGTTTTGAATTTCTTATAGTGAGGTAAGATTCTCTACATCCTGTTGAGGTGGAGTCTAGCTCTTGGGTTTGGGGGCTTCCTTCTCGTCTCTATCGGAAGACGAATCTCATTCTGTTGGTTGTTTGGAAGGATGGGTTTGTTATGGTTTGATTTCAGTTATCTTTTTAGTATATAATTACCGAGGAATCTCTGAAAGACCCCACAGGGTACGTAAATTCTCACCAATACAAGTCATCGGCAGAGGTAGAAAGCCCCTCCTTCTGTCTTCACTTGATTGCAGTAATCTCACACAGCCCTTCATTGACTTCTCAGCATAGCTACTGCGTGCACAAAGCCTGCAATGCACAAAACCCTGTGCTAGCCACAAAATAAGCAAACACACGGTGCTTCCTGCTCACAACGAAAATTACATTCTTGTGGAGTCAATACAAGCCCAGCTACACCAAGGATCAAAGGGTATCAGAAGGAAATTTATCCAATCCAAAATCAGCATCAGCCAGAAAATATCCAAGTGCTGAATATCCAAAGATGTTGGCCAGCTACCTTGGAGAAATCAGCATGATTTTTCTCTAAATTTATCCTATGCTTTTAAAAAAAAAAAAAAAAAAAAAAAAGATCAGCATTTAATATTATGCAAATACCATCAAATATGTTCTTAGAGCCTTTACACATAGGAAAATGGCTCTAGTGATTTAATTTTCCTGTGAAGTATTAGGCTCTCTTAAAAATAATTGTGACTTTAGAAGTACCCAGGGAATAAATACTTCAAAGCTTGATAGTATTGTTGTAGATGTTGGGAGCAGAAAGAACTTAGCATTGAGACAACAGAGAACCACATCAGCAAGCTCAGGGGCAGAAATATTTTAAAAATTTCCAACCAGAGAGACTAAAGTTGAGTAAATGGCTCCCAAATGTAGTATATTGGCTCCACTCTTGCCTAAATCAAAACTGCCTTTCCAGAATTCTGGGAGACTAAGAGAGCCCAAACTTTCGATAATGGATAATTCATTTAGCAAACATTAAAACTGACCATTGTTGCTTCAAAGTATACCCTATTTGTGCTTGACATCCTGCTCACGTCTACAGAGCTCTGAAAGGAGGGCAGAGACAATGCTTCAGTTGATGAAGTGCATCCCGCATAAGCATGAGGATCTGAGTTCAGATCCCCAGAGCCTGTGTAAAAGCCCAGTGCCACAGAGTGCATCTGGAGTCCCAGCACTGTAGAGTAGGGACAATGGCCAGACAATGTAGCTGAATTAGTGAGCTCCACAGTCCAAAGTTATAGAGTACCCAATATCAACTCTGGTCTCTAACACACACACACACACACACACACACACGCACGCACGCACGCACGCACGCACGCACGCATGCTCAGGCACATGGAAAAAGTCTGGCTAGGGAAATCACTCAGCAGGTAAAGTACTTGCCATGCAAGCACAAGGGACCTGAGCTCAGATCCCCAGAACTCACACAAAACCCAGCATGGTACCATACACTAGTAATCCCAGCACTCCTCCTGCCAGACAGGAAGTGAAGACAAGATAGCCCATGTAAGCCTGTGGCTAGCTGGCATACATAGTGGTGAATAGGAGACCATGTTCCAGAAAGCAGGTGAGGACTGAAACCTGAGGTGGTCCTATAACCTCCACACGTGTGTTACAGCACATGCACACCCACGCGCGTGAATACACACAAATGTATCAGCTTCTGTTGTCGTAGGAAACAGCGAAATCAATACACAAATACATGTATATGGCTGCATTTTCAACAAAACATTGATTGACAAGAACAGGTGTAAGGTGCTGACTGATGGGTCACAGTTTGCAGATCTTCGGTGGAGAGGAAGCTATTCAATGAGGAGGATCTTTGTGTCTCTGATAAAGGTTAAAAGAAAAGTGTCGGGATAAAAATACTTCAGGGCTAAAAAGCTCAGATCCAACCATAATAGAATACAAATCTGCATTTCCCAGTCAGTGTTGGGAATCCAAACAGGACTCTGCTCCATCTGCTTCCCATCTTCTCCAAAGTACCTTATTTTGATTAAGGAAAAGTTATTTTTTTTCCCTACTTTTCAACGCTCCAGAGAAAAGATACCATGTAAATCCAACATGTATTGAATTGATGGTCATTATCAGGGGCCCCTCAAGAGAAGGACTGCTCCTTAGATGAAGAGAAAATAAGTCATATTTCCATGGTTCCTATATGTGGTTTTTAATTAATTAATTAGTGTGTGTGTGTGTGTGTGTGTGTGTGTGTGTGTGTGTGTGTGTGTGTACACCCATGTGTCACTGTGTGCATCTAGCAGTCTGAGAGGGTGTTTGAGAATCAGTTCCTGCCTTCCCCATTGTTGAGGCAGGATCTCTCTTACTGTCTCTTTCCCTGCATAGTGTACTCGACACTAGCTGGTCCACAAGCTTCAGGTAGATTCCCCTGTCTCTACCTCTGATCCCACCACAGAAATGCTGCCAATGCAAATATGTGCCACCACTCCAGGACTTTATTTGGGTCCCAGAGATCAAATTCAGGGAGTCAAGCTTCTATGGGAAATGCTCTACCCCGGGCCATCTCTCTAGACCCTCACACCACGTTTTTAACCCAGCTCAATCTTTACTGTGCTTTCAAACTAAGGAAAACATATCTACCTTCTATAATAATTATCCTAACAGGGTTCAAAGATTGAAATAGCATAATCTCTCTAGAACTGTGTTTACAAAGCTCTAGGTTCTAGTTTAAATAATTTGTCATCCAAAACAACACTCATCTGCTTCATGCCCATGTACTGAAATTATCGGGTCTGACCTCAATTACCCCCATTGTTTTAGTGTAACTGAGTAATGTTATCGCAGCCAAGTTGGACCAATCCCATGCTGAGGACAAGCACTGAATCCAGCAGCAATTCCGTTGTTAGTTAGAAGTTTGTGAAAATCATGGCAAGTGGGTGAAAACTCATCGCCCTGTGGTTCCACTGACAGCCAAGCACCTTGTCATCACTCGGATGACAGATCAATGAGTATGAGTGCCCTTGCTCAAGAGAAGTTGAGCTGCTCTCAATCATAAGTTAAGTCCCATGTTCCTTCTCTGGACCTCTCTACTCTCTCTTTATCCAGTCTTCTAGAACTGAGTTGCTTCTCATGCAGTGTCTGCTTCTCTGAGAGGAATTTTTCTATGGCTGGATTCTAGGTACTCAGCCTCTATCTAGCAGGAAACATTCGGACCAAAAATAAAATAAAAAAAACTTTGACGTGTTAAGGACTTACCAAGACAGTAATCATTTTGAGCAGAGAAGTCAACACAAACAACGTGCTAATTAGCATCACACATGAGCTGATTAGAAGTAATTCACCACAGCTTGGAGCCACTGGGAAAAGATGACGGTAGAGAAGATTATAGGATTAAGAAGGCTGCTATTTCTCATGGCGTAAGTATTCGAACAGCTCGCAGGATATGCTCCAAGGCTGGCTGTCCCCTCTGCCTCCTACAGTCTTGAACGCTTTCTCACCTGTTACTGTCAATAAACAAGTGCCTTGATCCCTGTAACGAACAAGATTTCCACAGAGCCATCCAGTTTCCATTTAGACTAATGTAAGAGCTAGGCTGTGGATCCCTATCATTTTTCTAACAAGAGCCATGTGGGAAAAAAAAAATGGTTCCCCACACAAGTACTCCCATGTGAATGTCACAACATACCCAGGTGCCAACCCCACTTTCCCCTAAAGTAATTATGTAGGAATGAGATGAAATTCTATCTTGGAACTGAAATGGATCCTTGAACTCCTCAGAGAACGAAGCCCAGGAACCATGGCAAATTTACCCAGTACATCATACTCCTCTCTTTGACACTGATCACTTCTGTGGCTGAATAGAAACTGTCCTACCTGTGAGTTACCCAGAAATAGGGCTTTCATTTCTTGTCAAACAAGTCTTTACTGAATGGCCCCTGTGTGTCAAGAATGAATCCAGGGGCGGGAAAGATTGCTCAGTGCTTAAGAGCACCAACTGCTCTTGCAGAAGACCCAGGTTCAATTCCCAGCATCTACACAGATGCTCACAGCTATCTGTAATCTAGTTCCAGGGGATCTGAACCCCTCTTTTGACCTCTGCAGGCACTCCATGAACATGATATGCAGACACACATGCAGGAAAAACATTCAAACACATAAAATAAAAATAAAATAAGTTTCAAAAAAGAAAGTTTTAAAAAGTGAGTCCGAGCTGGGCAATGGTGGTACACAACTTTAATCCCAGCACTCAGGAGACAGACAGAGGGATCTCCGAGTTCAAGGCCAGCCTGGTCTACATAGCAAGTTCCAAGACAGCCAGAGCTGCAGAGAAACCTCGTCTTGAAAAGCAAAAACAAAAACAAAAAAAAAGTAAATCCAAGAAACTGAAAACACACACACACACACACACACACACACACACACACACACACACACACACAAACACCGCAATACTGATGCTGTCCATTAGATACTTTCCCCTAACTCATCTCTATCTTCATTTTTCCGGCCTCACTTTTCAGATTTTCAATTATTGAACTACGGAAACTTTGACAACTCTTCTCAAATTGAAATATGGAAAATTTGACAACTCTTTTCTAGGAAAACCTTAATTTCTTCACCAGGTTCAAAGAGGCAGAATCCATGCAAATAATGAAGCGTCCTTACACAGGCACAGTCCACAGCATCTGTTTTACTTTAGAAGGAACTATTAAGGCTTTTCTAAAAGCCCTTCCCAGTATTCACATTAGCAACCCTAACTTTTAGGAAATCTCTCATTTCGACACTTCTGACAAGTCCTCCTAAACTTTTGAACCTTCTTGGAATTCGTCTTCTATTATCAATCACACACAAAATAGTCATTTGTCTAGAATAGGTTCCCATCTGGCTTACCAAGATCTGTGACTGATTTATCCAAGTCAGTGTACACAGCACAGACTTGGGATAAGTTGGGATCAAGGAACCAGTTGAAGGAGACTGACATTCCCAGACACTGGCATGTGGCTAATGAGGTGAATAGAAGGCCATCCTTCCTGGATGTGAAAGCTTCTGGGTCTGTAACTCCCGCCCCACTTAGCTGCTTGGGGGACCTGGAAGGAGAAATCAGAACCCTAGATTCAAAGCTAAAAGAGGCAGCCCTGAAAAACCAGAGACTCTCAAGGTATGGGAGTCAGAGGCTCATGAGCCCAAACTTAGTCCTAGTGAGACCCTGTCTCGAGAACACCAACAGACTGAGCAGGGAAGAGTGGCAGGTTCATTTTTAAACCCCTTATCATCTTCAGAGGTTAAGTAGCCAAACGACCACACTGTCTTTCGAGAACGGGGCCTTCCGTCAGGCTGGTTCACCTCCGTTCACATTGGCTGTACCTCTCGCTACATTCTTTCTCCCGTTCTGGACTCTGGCTGCCTTCCCCAGTTTGAAGCCTTCTGCAACATTTCTGGTAAAGTGCGCTGCTTATCACCCAGTCTGCTCGTCCTCAGGGGTGTATTAAGTATCAGCTGAAAACACTACAAAATTGGACAAGTGATAATTTAGTTTTTAACAATAATTTCTGATGATTAAAGCAAGCCGGTTTTTGCTCTTGATGAAGAGGGGAAAAGAGAGGAGCTCAGCAGAGATTACTTGGCTTGGGGCAGCCCGGGAACAACCTAGAGTCTGTAGCTATATTGGCCCAAAACTATAGAAAGAGTTACAAGCCAGCATGGCCACTGTTCCCATCAGAGTTGTTATATTACAAAATTGTGCTCATCAAGAGCCTCTCTCCGGTTATTTTTTTTCCCAAGGTGGGTCTTACCCAATCCAGCTACTACCAAACAAAAGATCTTCATAAGCATAATGGGTTTATGATGGAATCAAACTGTGAACATGAGGGTGCTGTGACCCAAGCCTTATATGGCATTAACCCACTGGGAACACGTAACGATGTTTTAGCAGCTTACTCAGGTGTCTGAACCTATAGAAGACTGGTCTTTTCTATGTGAGGCTTCATAACAACCTCTGGTATAGACGGTATCTGGGATGCCCCCCAAGTCCCATGTATTAAAGTCTTGGTGTTCTCAACTTGGTGTTAGTGGGAAATAGTAGAACTTTTAAGATTAGTGAGGGGAAGTTGGGTCATTGGGGACATTCCTTTGAAGGGGATATGGTACCAGGCCCTTCTTTTTCCTCTGTTATTGGCTTCTCAGCCATGATGAGAAAAGCAGCTTCTTCTGCTTCATGCTCCTACGATGGTGAGCCATGGTACCCCAGACCCCAAAAGAACGCAATCAACTCATCTCCATGACTGTGAACAGATGCAATCCATTTCTCTTTTTGCACTGATTGTATCCATCATTTTGTTATAACACAGAGCTACTAAACACACTCCAGAAGCTGTGTACTCAGCCACTATTTAAAGAGGCCATGTGAGGGCCGTTCTTTGTAAAACGAGCTGCCATCAGGAAGGCCGATTTCCCCAAAGCCACCACATCATATGCTAAGTCTTCTTTTAGTCTTCATTATTTTTTTTCTTTAAACAGTCCTGTGTGTCACCCTCAAAGTTTGAAAGTATCAGTGTCACTATCTTGAAGGAAAGATGTATTTATTTGTTTGTTTGCTCATTCCCAATTCCCACCCAGGAAGTACTTAGGGAGCCCTGAAGTTAGCAGTGGGTACACAGCAGGAAATAAGGCACAGAACTTCCATTCTTGTTGAAGTAACATAACATTCCAGTAAGAAAATAAACTAGGTAATAACGGATTCTGGTAATATCAGGCGGAAATAGAGAGTAGAGGGCAACGTAGTACAGCTTTAGATGAATAGTCCCTGACCTCTATTTAAAAAAATAATTGAAAGGGCTCTAAACCGTATTCACATGTGTAAGACCTCATGTCATTGCTTGTAATCCTAGTACTTGTTTGTTAAATCTCTTAGCCTGCCCTGAGCGAGGAGGATGATAAAACTCTTCAGCACTGGAGGTGGATTGTTCTATTCCTACCCATGCGGCTCCAGCAAAGACACACCCGGATCCAATTAACTCGGGGGACCTTTCTTGATGAAAGCTCTAGAGAAAGGATTCTGACTGAAAGTCTTCAATTACTCTACTATTATTAGCCAGCATCCTTAAGCACGTGCCATCCTGTAGAGCAAAGCCGACTGATATAATAGAGGAAGGATTATCTATAATTAAGTAGACTTCCCCAAGCGTCTCCACTGTGCTTAGTTCACATCAAACCATGGTCACTCACTAGTGTAAATTGCCTACACTATGCTGTGAGTTAATGTAAATGCTTAAACTGGGATCATTTATAACAAAGACAGATATACTTCATTTCATTTTAGATAATTTTACTCTCAAAAAAAAAAAACCTATCAGGGGAGAGAAGGGCCAATTTCAAAATCCTTGGGTGCTTTTGTTCATTTGGAGGAAATTTTATTTCAAAAGCACTTTGTGACTTAAATTGCCTAAGAAATATTATCCAATCAAATGACCAATGTGTTGGAAAAAGGGAAAGATCCACATACCCATCACTTTTCACAAAAGGTATATGCTGTAATCTTATTGACATAAATATCCCTACACCAAAACTAGTGCTGTTGGATAAAATGCATGCCATTCGATTAAATCTGAATTTCAGATAAACAACAGATAAGTTGCATGGGAAATATTTACGCTTGAAAATTATTGAGTGCTTATCTGTAATTCGAATTAAACTGACATCGTGTATTTTAACTTACTAAATCTGGCCACTCTGCTCCAAGAAAAGAACTGAGTCTCTGGCCATCCCTACCACCCCCCACCACCCTTACCATCCCCATCCCACCTCTTAGTTAAGTTCCAGCTTCAAAGACATATGGGAATAATGGTCAATTTTGAAAAGCAAAATTTGAGCCAAAGTAGAAGAAAAATGATTGCCAAGAAATAGGCAATTTGGGCAACTTTGATAAAATGTAGAGATGCAAACTAGACCCTAAACATCATTAATTTTCAAAGATTCCTGCCACAATGAAACCTGGCATTCTGGTCACCTAGAATGGTGCTTAAGTCAGAAGAATGAAAAGTGTCTTCAAAATTAATATGACCTTGGTTACATTTTATTTTGGTATTTATTCTAATGTTATGTAATGGCTTAAGTTTGGCTAATTCATATTCTCTCTCTCTCTCTCTCTCTCTCTCTCTCTCTCTCTCTCTCTCTCTCTCTCTCTTATTCTGTCTAGTTACCTAAACAAGAATAAATTCCTGACAGCTATAGACAAAGATGCCTTTGGAGGAGTACACAGTGGACCAACCTTGCTGTGAGTAAGACAAATGAATGGCTGGTCGCTTTTTATTGTTTTTCTCTTTTACTTTTCTGGAATGAAGGAGGTGTGAAGAGAGGTGATTCCAACTGTCTTAGAATTTCTATTGCTATGAAGAGACACTATGACCACAGCAACTATTATAAAGGAAAACAGTTCGTTGAGGGCTGGAATAAAGTTCAGAGATTTAGTCCATTGGCATCATGGAGGGAAGCATGGAGGAGTACAGGCGGACATGGTGTTGAAGAGGTAGCTGAGAGTTCTATATCTGGATCTGAAGGCTGGAGAGAGAGAGAGAGAGAGAGAGAGAGAGAGAGAGAGAGAGAGAGAGACAGAGACAGAGACAGAGACAGAGACAGAGACAGAGACTGGGCCTGGCTAGAGTATCTGAAAACCTCAAAACCCAACCCCCCAGTGACAAGCCCACACCTACTTCAACAAGCCCACACCCCCTAATAGTGCCACTCCTTATGGGGGGTGGGGGGGGCATTTTCAATCAGACCACCACACCAACATTCAAGACAAGAGAAAGCTGTTGCATTGGGTAAAGGCTTCTGCCACTATTCCCCACTTGCCTAGAAGAAGTCTTTGAGACTCAGAAGCCCCCAAGTCCCAGGATTCCATCTGCCAACCTGGTCAGGCAACTTATAGGGGTTCTCTTTGTGGACTGGTGCTGTTTACAAAATCCTAAGATATGAGATTTACAAGTAAGTCTTTACAGAGAAATTGTACCCGAAGGCAACCATCTGGGGCCAGCCCAGAGGAGAAAAATATAAAGTATAGCCTGATTCCTACTTGAAGAACTTCTAGGGAAGATGGGATATAAGTGTTTCTCTTCTTTAATAGTTGGACAATGCACCTATTTGTGCAACTGTTCTAACTACACCTCCCACATGTGGTTGGTGATCATGTCCTATCAAGTCTACTTCCCTCAGGCTTCTTTATTAATGTCCCCTTCTTCATTCCCTTGGTTTAAGATCTCATCACTGACCATCTAATTAGTCCTTAATGGAGTGAAACACACAGTCCCCTAAAGATGCACAAGACAATCCTTTGGAAGCAAGAGGAAAGTATTTATTTCTAAAATTAGAAAACAATTAATTGTATTAACATGTATACAGATGACTATGGAAACTGATAGACAATAGGTGTATTCCAAGAGGAGAGTGGATGGTTGGCAGTCCTGAGCACTTTATACCTCCATCCTTTCACCTCCTACAATTTATTTCACCTTGGGAATGAATGCACCCAGTTAAGTAGGTAAGTGGCCCAGTTTTCTTAAGGTCTTCTGTACGCTATGGGAGTTTCTCCTGACTCACAGTGAAGTATAGACAGAAGAATGTGCTAGAGAGAACAACTGCAATTAGGAACCCACAGTGGGTGTGGTTGTCTGCACTAAGTCTGTACCACAGTGACCCATCAACTGTCGGGCTGGATGAGGGAGGGGCTCAGGGGCTCAGCCCTCCCAACTGAACATGGGTTAGAGGTAGAATCCTGAGGACAGAGAGTTACTTCCTTCAATTTTCTATGCACCAGCTAGCCCACTATATTCCAATGGATACCTCCAAACTAGTGACCATGTAGACAGCCCTAGTTAAGCACAGTTTGTCACAAAATGAATAAAACAGACATAAATCTGAAAAAGAGAGATGTAAGGAAAGGGGGAGGTTGGTGGGGATGGGGGGATGAGAATAAGTAGAATGCATTATGCACATGTATGACGTCTTGGAATAAGCTTAATTAATAAAAAATAAAATCAAATTAGGAGCAATGCTGGTCTAGTTTGGGAGGTGTTTTATAGAACTTTGGAGCACACAGGAAATTGAACAAGAGGTCCATTCAAACTAAGATATGTAAATAAGAAAGAGGCAAAGACAGAAGCAGCTCATTACAGCACAAAAAAGCTATAGTTGAAGAACAGTGAAATCCCAATCACAGAGTAACAACCCAAATCCTAGATATGGCTTTGATTAAATAGGTCCTGAAACTACTAGGCACGTTGAGTTATATGAGCTCAATGGGAAGTGTGGGGGGGTGAAGGGTCATAGAAAAGTGTTACATTCATGTTCTAGAGAAGAAAACCAGCCAACAAAATCCAAAACAAGTACATGGAGAAATGTAGACAGTTACAGAAGGAATAGCCATAGTTGAAAGTGATTGACTTAGAGGCCTTAGAAAGTGGACCAAAGATATGGATTAGAGAGAATCTGATATTCGGGTGACAAAGCTTGTAGTGTTTTCATTTACTGCTTAGAAAATGGGGGCACTGGAGAGATTGCTCTGAAGTTAAGAGTGCTTGCTGCACAAACATGGGAACCAGAGTTCAGACCACACCCTTGTCTAACTACTATAAGCAAGGGCACAGTAAGGGAATCACCAAGATGTCTGTCCATGATTTGGTGGAAAGGTTTCTATTGTAGGTATGAGAGAGAGAACATCCAGGGGCATCTGCAAGAGTCCAGAGCAGAGAGGAAAAGAAGCAGATTGGACAATACCAAGCCTATCTGTGAGAGAAGTGAGAATAGCAGAAGAGAGAGGGGGTGGGATGGAGGGATCCTTATCATTTAAAAAAGAGCAAGAAGTGAGTTGTAATCTAGAAAAGATAGTTTGGTGGAGGAGGAGAGGGGGAGGCGAGAAGGGCCAGGAGACCAGCAGGGCCTTTAAGATGTACAAGTGAATACAGACTGGAAGAGTATGGACCTTAGCATTGGCTTTGGTCTATGTCAATAGGGAGCAAGATGCCTAATCTGCCAGAGGAAGGAGAGATAGGCAAATAAATGGCTCTTTCCTGAAGACAGAAACCTATTTCAGGGTTCCTGAGGAATGCTGAAAGTATCCACCAGCAATCCTATAGTCTGCTGTGAGCTGAGCCAAGACTGTCATTTCTAGATGTATGCACTGCCCTTTGGAGTTTGAGACCCAACAATAACAATCCAGATATGATTCCATACAGACCTATAAACCAGCACTGAGGGAGGTAAAGACAAGAGCATCACTGTGCCCTACTGGTTTTCAGTGTAGGAGTTAAAAAAAAAAAAGCTGGGAGCTCCAGATCCTGAGAGAGACCCTGCTTCAAAAGAACAAGGCAGAGTGAAAGAGGAAGACACATGAAGCCATCTTCTACTCTCTTGGCATACAGAGCTACATGTACCCATACATACCACACATAGATATACACATGTATACCCACATAAACCATACTTACGCAAATACATACCCACATTATACATACACAAAATTAAAAATAAATTAGGGGAAGAGAGATGACTCAGCAGTTAAGAGCACCTGTTGCTAGGACCTAAGTTCAATTCACAAGCACCCATCTGGTGGTTCAAAACAACTTGTAACTCCACTTCCAGGAGATCTGACACTCTCTTGTAACTTCTGAGGGTACCAGGCACACACATGTTGCACATACATAGATTCAGGCAAAACCCCTATACACATAAAACAAAATAAATAATTTAAATTTTTTTTTAATTAAAGAAATAGTACTAAATGAAAAAAATGGAATAAAAGGAGAAGCATTGTTGTGGAATAATCTTTCTGTGCACTGTGAAGAGTTGTCACTCGGATTGGTTTAATAAAAAGCTGAATGGCCAATAGATAGGCAGGATTTGGGGGGCAGAGAGGATTCTGGGGAAAAGGGTGGAAATGTGAAGAGTGCCCAGCCAAACAGAGAGGAAGCTGCATGAGCAGTACAGAGTAAAGGTAATAAAGCCAGGAGACAAAGAGTAGATTGATAGAAATGGGTTAATATACGTTATAAGAGCTAATTAGAAACTATTGGCCAAGCTTTTATTAATTAATAATAAGTCTCCATGTTGTGATTTGGGAGCTGGCAGGCACGATAGAGAAAGACTAGCTACAAAGTATGGAGAAGATTTTAAATACAGATAAAAGGGAGAAAGCAGGCAGAGAGAAGAATCCAGGCTGAACATGGCCAGCAGACTAAACCGGACCATGAGAGGAAAGAGGGGAAGGGAGAGCAGGAGAGAAGCCACCAACCAAAAGAGATGGCCTGGGCCAAGAGAGCAGAGCAGCCAAAATGGCTGAGTGATTTAGAGATCAAGGTTAAGGGAGAGGTTTAGGGTAGGGGGCAGAGTGTAAGGAGTGCGAGGAGGAGGCACAGGTACTGAGTAGTGCTGGGAGAGCTGGGGGGAGCCCCAGGTACCAAGTGAGACTTGTCCTGAGTCTGAGACCTAACAAATACCATGCATTATATTAACAATTTTTGTGTGTGTGTGTGGTTTTTCGAGACAGGGTTTCTCTGTGTAGCTTTGCGCCTTTCCTGGGACTCACTTGGTAGCCCAGGCTGGCCTCGAACTCACAGAGATCCACCCGGCTCTGCCTCCCGAGTGCTGGGATTAAAGGCGTGCACCACCACCGCCCGGCTTATTAACAAGAATTTTAATTGAATCAAATAAAATGTAAGAAGAAAGTTAATGAAATTGTCAGGAGGTGAAGGTTGAGTAATAAAGAAAAACGAGAAAACGAACATCATCCTCAAATACCAATCACGGATGTTCTCTTCAAATTGTGTATGCGTGACCTGGGACATCTCTTCTGACCTGCATCAAAACCTTCACTTTCTTTCCTACAATCACCCCCTAACTAGATGTGAAGGTCCTTTTCCCACAGGGAAAGACTATGCTTCACGGTTTTGTAATGCCCTCACCAAAGCAGGAATTAGCAAATATCCAATGAATATCAGATGCATTGTGTCAAATAGTCATGCCTTGGTTGCCATTTGGTATACACGCCCAACTTGAAAAATCCAAAGTGATGGGAATTCACAACACGCCCCCATGGTTGGGCATGGTTGCTCATGCTCTGCGGACCTAGACACTTCCACCTAGCCATTTCTGGGTCAAAACCTCTCGCGTGACCAGGACCCCATGGCTTTGCATGGTTGCGTAAAGCGCACAGCGCAACCATCTGATCTACGTGCATGCGTGGAATAGCCACATGGGCCTGTGTGCGCAGGCGCGGCCCAG